TAAATGGTTAATTGTGTGACATATGGTTGTCTAGGTATACACCAAAGCTCAACGGTTCAAAGATATTGCATCTACCGATTGACTGAGTATATCTGACATATTTTCACCACGGAAAGTCCAAGGGCAAACCTACTTATCCAGATGCAATTAATTTTTGCTTGTAAAGTACAAATACTTGTCCGTTTCTTTGTCTTGGAGTCATTCCTCATTCATGTTGGGGATTGTTGGGTTTTAAAAGGTGTGAATGGAAAATGAAGAGTTGCGACTTTTATGGAGAGTTGTAACTTTTATGAAAAGTTGTGACTTTTATGAAAAGTTGCGACTTTTATGAAAGGTTGTGACCTTTCCGAAAGATTGTGACTTTTCCAAAGGTTTGTGACCTTTGCAGTAAGGCACAACAAGAACCTTTTCACACTATCCTTTTTTTTCTATAAATTGAGGGATTTCCTCTCATTTTAGTTGAACGAATTTTTCTGGACTTCTGCTACTACTACAAAATCTAGTATTCTAAGTGTACTTTACTGTCGTTGAGTGGTTCGCTAACACCGTGGTTTTAGGTACCGATACACGGTGAGTAAGATCGTTCTATCCTGGGAGGATATATTTCATTAACCTCGGGTACTTGAGGGGAATAATTTCCTTAAGGGGACACTATGCATTCAGTGGGCTCGATTTTCTTTCTTTGAGAAAAATATTTTTATATTGTTTCTAATATGTTTCTGATTCTATTTTCTCTACTAGTTTTAATTTTCTAGTTTGAAAATACTCTTTAAACTTTGTTGTTTCTTACCAAGTACTTCAAAGTTTTGTTCTAACTATCTTAGGAATACGAGATGAACAACAGAAGACGTGATCAAATGCAACACGGATGGGGCAAGCAAAGGAAATTTGCAGCGGAGAACATTGGTATCACTACCAATGTAGAAGCATAACTGAGAGCTATTCTAGAGGCAATTCAATACTGTGTGAACAAGAAAATGAGGAAAATAATCCTGGAATCAGATTCGTTATTAATGAAGATTGGAAAGTGCTGTGGGTAATAGCAGAGGAGTTTGATGAGCTTAAACATGAAATGACAAAGCTTGAAGTAAAGACACAACACATATAAAGAGAAGGCAACAAAATGCCAGATTACTTAGCTAATATAGTAATTAGTTCTACAGAAAAGAAGATATTCAGGTTATTCCAGCAATTAGTTCTACAGAAAAGATGATTATGAGGTCGAAGAAAAGAAGCAAGTTGCTGCAGATGTCTTGTTTCAATATTCAAACTTTGTTATGGCCTGCATTGGTAATCAAGTTCGGCCTTGTAATCTGAGGCTACATTTGATGAAAGAGGTCTCAGGATTACCAACTTCATTGAAGCAGGAGCGACGTGCAGCATCCTCTCCCAATGAAATGGGAGAGTCTTCGAGCTTAGGCACTTCGAGACTTGAAACAGACAGCTTTAAAGGTCTCTAGACGCGGCCAGAAACTGCAACACTGTTGTTGTTTTTATTAGTTTAGTTTCTTTTAAAATACGAGTTTCCGCAATCATTTGATCTAATGGAGGTGTAAATTGTATGATTCATGTCATGTTATATTATACTTACATAATGTTTATGTGGGGTGCACATGCACTCATTAACTTAGAAAAATAATTATGTATATATATGTATATCTATCTTGTGAAACTGAAGAAAAAAAAGTAAGTGATGATAGAAAATATTTACAAATAAAGTTTTTTGATATTATTCGGTTATATTTGAAAAGAATTGAAATAGCCAGTGCTTTACCATATTCTTTAAAGATTCATTTGCTACTTATTGAAGAAAAAAATAATATTGGAAGACTGCCATTTTATAAGTAGGAGTGTGTAAGTGACATGGAGGAGATAAATACTTAAAATTGGAGTATTTTTTAATGTAAAAGTTGAAGTCAAGCTTAAGTGTATATCTAAAAATTATCCCACAAAGAAATAATGACGGGAGTCTGATACTATTCCATATTTTGTCAAATGAAGGTCAGAAACATAATGAAGATAATACTAATTTAGAAATGTTAATTATCATGAATCCAAATTAATCAGGCCCAACATGAATAAATATGTTGTTTTACACATTAGATTAAAATTCGCTAAGCTTCACATGTTTTGAATGTAGTGATCAAAACCAAAACAAGTGAAAATGTCTTTTGTCAATGCAAATTAGTACCATCAATGATTTCGATTGACTTGAGATGAGACAATTCAAATGGTCATACACTGTTTAAAAAACTCAAAGAGATGAACTTTTGTATTTACATTAACTTTGACAACTATACAACAAATACAATACGATGTAAGCTAATAGAGATAATTCATTACCGAGCGAAGCACAATTAATTTACCTAGTTTTTAAATAATACATTATTTTCTTAAATTTCATAACTTGGAGCATTTTATTCTATAATGGTAAAGATACAGATTAATAATAATAACATACTAAAGGAAGAAGAATAATAATAATAATAATAATAATAATAATGTAAATAAATTGCACGTTAATATATAATACTAATTAAAAAAATAACATTGAGATGGCATCTCATTGCATACTACTTAAAGAAAAGTTGATATCAAATAAAGTTTATCCAACTTGAAAGTATAGTTGAAACATATTAAACATTAACAAAACTAAGACAAAAATATAGAGATTGTTTCTCAAAATATCATTCCATACAGAAGCACTTCTCTTGCACTTGATCTTGATTTTCATCTTCCACAGCCTATGGAAATGATAGAAAAAAATATTTGCTTAGATTGCATACTTTATGATATTATGAAATAAACAAACTAAAGTATTTTGAAGTTATTAAATGTACCTTAATGGATTACTTGATAGAGTTCAATGATCACTAAATCATGAAAAGGAATCAAAGTTAGCTGCTAAAAACTACAAGGTTGCTATCTATTCATTAATTCCATATTTGTTCAACCAGAAACTAAAGAAAAACGTCGTAGGATACGTCAATAGAAATTTACTTCATATTGATTGCTTAGACAGAAAGTAAAGTAAGCGCACAAACATAAAAGACAAATGAACAATCAGATGCTGAAATTATAACGATAACAAACATCAATCGATGTTGCACATGCCATCTCTAGACCTGCTCCTACGCAGTCTACCTTCTATGGTGATTATTTTTATAGAGATACTACTTTTCTGGACATGTATTTTCCTCTTTTGTTTCGATGCCTGTCTTTCTATAAGTTATTTGGCGTCTATTGATCAGGCAAAACTGATCCATATGTTATTATAAGACTTAGAGATCAAGTAATATGCATCAAAAGAAGCATTCAAACTATTGTTTTTGGATCGTCTAGAGAACCTAATTCTTCAAACAAAGATTAGGAGACGTTGGAATTCGAGTAAACAATACTATCGTTTCTGCATACCGAAGAATCAAACTGAAAATGGAAAAGTTGGGTTTAAAATTTTGGCAAGAGTCGAGGCAAAGGATGGATATCACTAGTGCATATCATTCTCTGATTATACTTTAAACGAGTTACTCCTCTATTTCTAGGAGTGTGCTTCTATGCATTAAGAAAATCTAATAAAATATCGGAAAAATCAAATTATCCAAACACAATGAATACATGTATTTATTCACAAAAAAGTGTGCACAATAATTTCAACATTAAAAAATCACTAGGAAATTTTTTTGTATAACTTACAATTTCAGCACGAGCAGCGTCATCTTTTTCCTCTATTGTGAGTTTCTTCCTCTTGTTTGGAAGTGTAAGAAAATTTTGTGCAACTATCCTCAATTCATTTGAGAGTTTTTCTGATTGAATCAAGCCTCCCTTTACCAACAACCACATTTTTCCCGAAAGATCTTTTAATTTTTTTAAGACCCTCTCCTATAGCGTTTCATTGACCTTTCTTAATTCTACATATATTATCTTATGAAGAATAAATAATATCTAAATTGTAAGATAGTGGTGTATAGATTATAATATTTTCTAAATTTTCGCTTCAAACCTCAAAAGTAACTAATTACTATGTTTTGATTAACATAAGAAGTCATATACCTATGGTAGTAGCAAAAGTACATTTATTTAGCTCATCGATATCGATAGACTGAATAGCTGAAACAGTTTCTCCAGTAAGTGTATTTGGCTTATAGTTACGTCATGTTGGTGCCATAGCTTTACTTATATTCCTGCAAAATATCACAGTATATGCATTACTCGATGTTTAAAGAAACTTATTTGCTATTGGTTCATAATAAAGGACAATTGTAATTGGATTACCGTATGGAATGCATGGTATAGCGTCTTTAACTCTTTAGATCGTACAATTTATTAATTTTCACATTTGTTTCCTTCTAGAGAGTGATTAAACTCAATACAAAATAGCAGAGCATAGTTTTAAGAGATTATTTAACAAAAAATAGGGATAGAAAGTTGTAGTAATTACCTCAGAAGATTCCAATTATATTTGTCTTCAACGGGTGAAAATTTGGTAGTACACTTTGGAAAATCAAGGAAATTTTATGAGATATAATAAAATTAAGTTTAACAATTTAATTTTTTATTTAGGAAAATATTTAAGAATCAAAATAAAAGAAGGAGCAAACTGTAGTTCAATGATCCTAATTTTAACGTAAGAAAATATAATAGACAAAAGGTATACATGAATTACCATGTAGAGGTCAGTGATGGAATAAAATTTTAAACTTCTTGGTATATCTTGTGTGATACGATAGTTTTCTACATTTTTTCTTCTTGTCAAAAGTTTTGAGCCACAATTGGCGCCATTGTCGTTTAAAACACGATCAAAATTCTTTGAAAGGCTATCCCCTTTGCCTTTTTTTACCTCAGGCTCACCTGAAAATATGCATAACCAAATGAGAGGATATAATAGACATAGAAAAAAAATTATGAGTTCAAAAAATTATATTCTGAAATTCACGCATAACAAATTGAAAAATAAAATAATTAATAGAATAAGTCAATTATAAGATGTTTAAATTAATTTATTGTGTACCATGAATAAATTTATGTTTTTTTTTTGTTAGGTACTATCTCCTCGAAGGTGTTTACTTGATCCTTTCTTGTTTTGCCTTCATTGTGTACTTTAGATTTCTGGTTCTCTAAATTATATGGACGACTCCAATTATATTCCGCTTCAGGTGATGAGAGTCTCTTTGTATGCTGTAAAATGAAAGGAAACTTGATCATCTAACTAAAATAATTATGTACAATATCAATGGACTAAAACCAATTTTTAATATAGTTTGAAATACCTTGTATATGTTATTAATGGAGCGGAATTTTATGCTCCTTGGTACTCCTTGCTTCAGTCGGTAATAGTTTTGATCTTTTTCATCAATTATGAAAACTTTTGAGCCATTATCGGTGTTGTTGTCCTTTCGAATAAGATCGGTATCATCCGGGAGACTATCATTACTTGTGATAATAGTATGCTCCAATCCACCTTATAGTCATGCAAAACCAATGAGAGGTAATGGCAAACATATACAATAAATAATACTTTGAATCCATTGATATAAAATTATAGGATTCTTCTCCATCTCCAAATCGAAAAAATTCAAAAGAATTAATAAAAGTCAATTGTTAAATGTAAAATTTCTTTGATACCGTTGATGTCATCTCGTTGTTGGTGCTGTTGTTTTTCAAATGGTTCCTCCTCTTGAGAGTCATCTTGCTCTTTTCCATTTATACTTTCATTATATTCTTTAGATCTCTCATTCTGTATCAACTCCTTACATCTTTCCTGTCGATTTTTGTCTACTGACTGAAAATAGAAAATTTATTTTATAATAAAAAACCATGATCAATAAAATAAATGAATTCAAAAATATATGTAAAAGGAAAGTAAAATATTACCTTAATAAACAAGCTTTCATTAATCTTATTAACTCTTATTTGATAAAATTAACTAGAGGTGATCAATAAATTGAAAACAAAGTAATAAAGGGAAACAATCAGATATATAGAAGAAACGAAAATTACCGTAATGGTGAGTTCACTGGTGTTTGAACTATTCATTTTGCTCTCACATATTCCTTGTTGCACGTGATAATTTGCATCTTTTCTATCTTTGATCGGAAGTTTTGAATTACTCCCTCCGTTCTCCTTTGTTTGACCAGTTTGCAGTTCGTACTCCCCTTAATAAATATTAATTAAATATTTATTTTACCAAATTATTTTTATTAATAATACTTTGAAATTTTAAAATTCGACCACTAATACTCTAATTAATTTTAAAAATAATGACTCACTCGCAAAATTAATTACTTACTGTCTCGGTCCTTTTCGTATTTGCTTGCATTGTGTTCTTCAGATTTTTTATTCTTATTGGAATCATCTTTCTCTTTCTTTTGTAATTCAATCCTAAGGAGTGTATACTGTCAAAAACAAAAAGAAAATTTATTATTGAATTAATTAAACTAATAATTCATTCTCTCACAAAGTGA